TAAAATAGCTCTTTAGAGGACTACAAATGAGCTTACTGATTAAGAATATCCTAAATTTAATAAGATTCATTCAATATTTTCGCTAATATCTGGAAAATAAGAATCCGTAATTCCCGGCCGGCCGATAGGCGTCTCCACCATGTCGCCTGCCGACCCTTAATCTGTGGTGGTAATATAAGGCAATCAAAACAGACGGAACGGAACGCGCGGAAATGCGGGACTCTAGTAAAGTTTAGTTACTTTCTCTTCCGCGTTTCCGCGTTTCCGCGCGTCCATGTAATCGCACCCTCACAGGTGTCTCCCATTTGCCACGATTGTACAGCATAGTAATTTTTTCGTTTCTTTTTTCCGTTACGTCATGAACTGCGCGACTGACGAAGAGGCGCGTTCGTTCTGTATTTTTTAAAGTCCCTGGAAATAATTATAATTATAAAAATAAATAAATAATTATAATAAATAATAATAATAATAATTTATTATAATTAGAATTATAAATAAATAATTATTTCTAGGACCTCTAGCATTTTTTTTAATCCCGCGCTTTCTTTCTTTCCTTTTTTTCTATCTCTTTTTAAAATAGAAAATTCTAAAAAATATGAAAAAAAGAAAATATAAATAAAAAATGAAAAAATAAGAAACAAAAAGGAAATAATGAACTTGCGAGAACTCGGAAAAACAGAAATTCCCTAGGACTTTTTCCGGAACGCGAGAGAGATTTGCATCTAGATTGTTCGTGCTTCGTGACTGTTCGCGCTTTTTCTATGTGTGGCACCACTGCCGATGGTCGGATTCAACATGTAGGAGCGCGTTTAAATTTTTGTATACATAATACGAGCCGCTAGCAATCAACCATGGCAGATTTCAACGACGGAGTGGACGGGAAGCTGGCGTTTAGAATGCGAAAAGTCAATCCCGAACAATTTTACACGCTCGTGAGGATGCACTTGTCCTTCGAATTGGATCTCAATACGGAGGAGTAAGTCATGTCCCCCCTCGACTCTCCCGATTGTATTTCCGTTTCGGCTGTCCGTGATTGATATACCGTTGACAGACATCTCGTTTCTAATAAATAACATCTGTTTTATTATCTGCGTTTCATCGCTTAATCATTTTCAACGCTCGATTATTTGTCTCGTGTAATTTTACAAGCTGCTACTATAAAATATCTATTATAAGATATACAGCATGTATTTTAATAATATATTTCAATGTTCCTTTTTTTAGCAGCGATGGTATTAATGAGAAAGCGAGACTGAAAAAATGGGGTCTTCTGAGCTTTACCAAGAAGCCTAAGTCTTCGGTTAACTTAGAAAAGGGTACAGAAGGTGTTACGTTATCTGAGGATAGTATAAGTCATGTGACTCAATTGATAGATTATTTGTCTAAAGAACACAGTAAGTAAACATTTTAACTAACCATTCATTGTATTTTTAAATGCATTTCTCTTACAAATATTATTTTATAGATATTGTACAAGAAGGAATATTTCGACGTACTGGGAAGTTAACGAGACAACAAGACTTAAAAACAGCTATGTCTCAAGGTGTATCTTTGGATCTTGACGATGGTCGATTTAGTGTACATGATTGCGCTTCTGTATTAAAAGGATTTCTAGCAGAACTGTCAGAGCCGCTCCTGACAGATCTACATTATCCAGCTCATTGTCAGATAGCTGGTAATAATAAGAGCATATTTTGTTTGCACGCTATATATATATATGTATAATAATATGATCAATATTATTTGCAGAATTATGCAGCTTGGATGCAAAGACAAATGACGCGAGATTATTGAGTTCTTTACAATTACTTCTGCTGCTCCTGCCACCTTCTAACAGAATTTTGTTAAAAGCTATCCTTATTTTGTTGAATAAGACAGCGAGTTACGAGCATAGCAACAAAATGAATAGCGTTACATTGGCCACTCTCTTTACACCACATTTATTGTGTCCACGGAAGTTATCCCCTGAAGCTTTGCATATCAATTCGCAGAATTTATCATGTTTAGTTGCATTAATGATTAGAAAAGGTACAGAATTATTCGAGATTCCACCGAAATTAGCTACAGATATACGAGCATACTGGTTGGAGCAAGAAAGAAAGTTATTAAGCCCTAAGAAGACTGATGTAAGTTTCAAATTTAAAGTAATACTTGACTGTATTGTCTTATGCAGTATAATAAAAAAATTACAATTGTTTACAGTTGAACGAGTCTGTACCAGACACAACTGGTACAGCACACACTGTATTCAGTTTTGTCGATCGCAAATTGACAGCGAAAGCAAATTCTACACAAGATACGCAAGCAGCTTTGGCTCAGCTTTATGCTCATATACAAGCTATGCCGGAATCGGCCAAGAAACGGCGACTTGTGAAACAATTTAACAAAGAAAATGGACAAGGCACACCTAGGCATGTAAAAAACTGCAAAACCAAGAGTCTCGGAGATTCCATCAAAAAACATATTTTTCAAAAAAAGATCTTAAGCCACAAAAAGTGCGCTGACAATAATATTGGATGCAATATCACTAGATCGAGCAGTGAAGAGAATATATTGTCGACGGTGAGTTTTTGTATAATTTTAATTTTTCTAAGATATATCTTTCAGTGTTTATCTTTTATATGGTTTATTATGTCTTTTTAATAACAGCGTTTATTCTACTTTTATCTAATAATCGCATGTATTATATAGAAACTAGAAGATTCGTTGCTTCCGGCAAGAATGCTCCTTAGCAAATCAAACGATGAATTTAGCACAGAAAACTGTGATACTACTAATAACGATCTTCTACATATCAAACACATGAGTAGTAGTATAGATAGCTTTAAGAATGAAACTTTCACAAGTTGTAAAATGAAAAAGAAGCTCTGTAATCAATCTACAAACACGAGAGAGGAATTGGATGAAAAAAATCTGCAAAATGATGCGAAACAGAGCTTAGGTTTGATGGAACATGGGAGCTGTACAAGTTTACAGGAGATTAATGTAATGCCTAGTGACAATAATTTATCCGATACTGCTAAACTGACGCGACAACTCGATGAACCACCAGATGTGTGTTCTCCTCAAGATGTAAATCACTGTGATAATTCGTTAACGAATAATGATAAATTAGTGTCACTAGACTCGGAATCTATACTTGCATTCACTGCAACACCAAACATAGAAACTTTCCCTAAAAAGACTTGTGCATCGAGCATAAAATCATGCGAAACTTTGAACGTTGAGCCACGTATCGAAAACGCATGCAATTTACAGTCTCCGATTGTAAGAAACAGATTCAGGAATGTGTATGCTGTACATACGTCGACGCCGTCGAGTTTATTACGACGAAGCATGGTCACTAACGATTATATCTTGACTCCTATAACTAACAACGATAAAAGCATGAGTCCGATTACGCAAAGTGCAACGAAAATGACAAAAGCCATGCAGGTACATAAATATTTATGATATATCAATAATATTTAATAGATATATATAATAAATTACAATATATTAATATTATAATATTATAATGAATTAATATTATAATTTTATAATATTAAAAATTATATATTAATAATAATTATACATCTCTCAATAAGAGATTATTAATTTTCACAATTTGTAACAGGAAACTATGATGACCCCACGCTCCAGAAAACCAGTAATGATAGTTTCAACTTCGAATCTTTGCAATCTCGTCACCGGCAACAACAGCTGCAATTTACGCGGATCTAATTTAGACATGATTAGTACAATAAATTGCGCTTCTATTTTGGAGGAATCCCAGACATACAACAGCATGGAGAATATACTGCCGCATATAAAGGATGTCGAAAATAAAGAAAATAACGAGATAGACACACTCGAGAAGCACAACTGTGTCCAATCTGTTGCAAATTGTTGCACTTGTACACAACAAAGTTCGATGTCTATAACGAGCACGTTTAGAGAATATTTGTTGTCAAGGAGCGTCTTAACTGCCAGTCCCGTCGATCTCAGTTTTACGTCGCGGACGGGAGATTTTGAGCAATCTGAGTCTGATTTAAATATCTTGAACAATGATACATTGTCTGACAGCTTACTGTGTTGTTTGGACGGTAACCAGCCAGAGTCTGATACTTCTGGCATAGCATCCGGTAGCACGAATAATTCTACTGAAAAGATGGAGGAAGAGTCTTCTTCTCCGAGAAAACGAGGGACTAGCTTGCAACGAAACGATTCTAAAAGATCCACGAGGAAAGATGCGGTCAAAGGCACGACGAGCGAAGAATTAAAAAATAGGCCGCGGAATGAGTCGGACGAAATAAATTCTGTGAAAATGCAGGATAGCTTTCAAGAGACGTCATTTTAATTTATTACGAGAACTCGTTAGTTATTAATATATCGTTGAGCATTATAAATATACATTTCGATGTTTTGTATACTTTGAGAAGAGGAAAGAGAAAATTGTCTCATTATAGTTTAAGTTTATTAATACGACTTTATATATAGTTTTGTCTCAAATATATAGATTAAGTGTTTGACAGTAAATGGATTACTTATTCTGTTTATGTCACATTAAATTATTATTACATGTATATAATGCAAGACATTTAAAAGAATTTAATTTCCTTTACAATCTTGATAAAAAGAAATATAAACATCATATATAACTATTGTGAGATGCTATTAATATTTTTACAATTTATTTTGTAACCTTAAAATGGTTTAATATAATTGTAATCTTATGATATCAAGAATAATTTTTTATTATAATTCTTGTGCATCTTGAATAAGATTTATAAATACGTAAAAATTCTGTGGGTTTTACACAACACATGCAGAATGTGTTGATTTTATTTATAAAGTTAGATTATATGATGTGACTTATGATTTTTATTTTATAAATCATGATTATAACTATTATTTCCAATTAGTGTATGATTGACTATATATAAAGTCGTGTAAACACATTTAGTTAGATTTCATCATTTTTTATTTTTATAGAGGAGATAATTGATAAATTTTTCAGATATTCTGCATCTACAATATTATATTTGATAGAAAAGTAATGCATTATATTAAAATCTCTTATAGCAGTTACATTTAATTCACGTAAATTAATTAAAACTGATACAAAAAGAAAGCTACTCTTGTATATCAGTACATATCATCATGACTTAAGTCAGGTACATATGAAAAACCTCGCTCTTTCAAAGCTTTATTCATTCGTTTTTTCTGTTCTTGCTTTGATTCTTGTTCGCGCCTTTGAGCATCCAAAATTTCGTCCACTGTCACTTTTTTTAAGGGTAGGACTTTTTCCTTTTCTATATCCTGTAATATAAAAGTGTTTATTTAGGTATCATGTATAATTATTAGTATCAGCAGAATTATAACAAATATTTTCTATTTGTAAAACTTACTATTTCTCCTAAAAGTACAACATTCTCGCCTCTCACTATGAAAATACCTCTTGGAATGTCACCATATTCCTGACCAACATGAATTCTTTCAATTGTACTTTGAAGTACTATATTAGCAAATTGATCGACACTTTTAAGATAGCCAATTAATGTTCTACCATCCCTTAATAAAACCATAAGTTTTTCTAGATAAGAAGTAAAAATCGACGAGTGTTAATTGTTTAATAATATGAATAGATTCTTTAAAGGTCAGTGTATTAAATAAAAGGCCTTATTTTATTTGAAAATTAAGTAATATGGAATTATACATAAATATATAATTAACTAAGATTAAGAATACAAAGTAAAGTTACAGACAATTTTATCATTCTCAATCTTTTCTAATATACAATCTTGTCACAGCATGTAAACATTTCTGTATTTGTTTTATCATTTTGAATAATTTCTATTTTATGATATAATACAAATTTGCAATATTTTACAGGACAGATCGTATGAGTGATAATAAATGAAGAGTAAGAAGAGACGAAAGAAAAATAACACTAATCAAACATATATACTTTCGAGTTCTTCAAGTAGTGACGCTGTTCCTGGTGGCAATTCGTTAGTATCATTCATTTTGCTCGACAAATTAACAATTAAATTAAATCACCCAACAATCGTTTACGAATTTTTGTCTAACATATAATAATTCTACCTTCTAATTTCAGAAAACTCGCGTCTAAACAAGCAGAGAACTACAATTTTGCACAAATATCATCTGTCTTCTGAATCCCTCTTCACATAAACGCAAAAGGTACAAGTATATCGATACTGTAGATTTCTTCTACTTTTAATCGGTCGGTACGAAAACGTACTTATCGACAGTTCACTTCATTGATGACTTTTCGCGTCTCCAGGTGGCGCCTGCGTCAGTTTTGGCGCGAAGCGGACACAACTCATCCGACATTGCTGCGCGTCGCGCGCGGCGTCCCGCTGAGCTTTTAATTCGAATAAATCCGAGTTAAAAGGCCGAGGAGACGGCTTTTTAACATTCCAATGATAACACGGCGTGCAGCTCCGGATGGACGAGAACTCCCCTTCGGTCGTTCCTCGTCGGCTCTCCTGACAAAGTTTGGCTCGCAAGTTTGGCTCGCCGAATCCCGAAGGTAAATATTCAAAATGGTCGACGCGATCTGTAAGTCAAATTTTATTATTTATTTCTATTCATCCTATTTGAATTGTAGCGATTATACGTCTTACGTCTCATAATCATGAGCGTAATTTTATTTATGAAATACAATATAAATGAAAGTCTCAAGTTTCGAGGAGCAGTTTTTGAGTTAAATTCGATGTTTGTGCAAACTAGAAAGTATGCAAGAAATATAAATATTTTATTTCGAGATCGAAATATAACAATATTTGTAACGATGCAAATTTGTCGTAAACGTATACTAGTAACAATTTATTCCGAATTTTGTGACTTTAGGCAGCGTAAAGAGATTTCAAGGTAAGATAAAAGTCTGTCTCTCGCTTTTTACGCCTAACCCTAAAGCGATTATTAACTGAGTAACATTTAATATTCGATAATCATCATAAATAAATTTGATATAAAAAATATAAAAATGAATATATTTAATAAGAAAGAATAATTCGCACATCATTTGCCGCGCTTTAATTAGCTCGTTTCTCCTTTGTTTATATGAATAAAAATAATACACAATTGAAAAATTTGTGTTAAATTTAACAGATATCACGTGTCCCAAACGGTCTATAGAAATTTTTGTGTTAATTTAACATAATATAGATAGGTTACATGAAGACACAAATATTGTGTTAACATTTTAACACAAAATAAATGCAAAACTTCAAGTAATTTAAAATAAATTTTGTATAAAATTAACATAGCTTTAATGTAAAAATAGTTAATTTTAGATTTTATCATCTCCACTTATATTATAAAATAAAAAATCAACATTTTTTTCTGTAAATTTGAACAGCTAAATCTTGTCACTAATAAAACAGAACATATCTATTGTGTAAAATTAAAAATAGATGTACATTGTGTTATTTTTACATCTTTTTCAATTGTTTTAATAATTTAACATTTAACGGGAACCGTTTTTAACAAGAAAATACAAATTTTCCTACTGTGTAATAGAAATAATATTCGAGTTTGAAACGGAAGAATCAGTATATTCGAAAACGGAGACACAATGAGAGAGATTCTTCGGGGTCCGATGCGTTTTCACGGCGCACCTGGGTCATCTCGGTGTCGAAGCCAAAGTCGATGGACTTTGCTTTATGCGTACACTTTACGCCCCCGATTGCGAGCGACACCGGAACGCTCTCAACCTCACCCTCTCTCCGTCGCCGCCGCCGCTGATCAGAATCCCCTTTCGGTCGCAAAACGACGAGCGAGAGGAACGCGATTTAATTTAGAAGCCTGAGGAGCCGCGCCGGCGTGTTTCCCTCAGACTTCCAAGTCTCGAATCTCTCTCTTTCTCTTTCTCTCGGCGGCACGTTTTAATAATAATCGCGTGCTCTCGGCGACGGAGACGAGCTTCCTCGTAAACCAGATCCGTCGTCTCGGGGGCGGCGACAAATCTTATCAGAGCGAACGACGCGATGTATTTTCGCCGAGCGAGCCTCGATTTAGCCTCAACCACTTCCACATCGGGGATTTTCGCGAAAGTTCACTGAAACGATCGTATCTTTTTCTATTTTCTCGATTTGCATATATATATATATATATATATATATATATATATATAATTTAAAAATGTTACATATATATGCATGACTGCCATTTTGCTTTTTTAATAAAATTTTTTTTCTTCATGTCGAACTTATTTATTTTGTTATATAATTGGATGACAAGATTATCATATAATAATTTCATATAGATATACACATTGTACACTGAAAAAAAATTTATTGAATTCGATAAATATTTATTTCAATACTGTCTAATAAATCATTTATTTGAAATTAATTATATTGATTTGATGTAAAAAATATTTATATTTGTTTGAAATAAATGATTTATTAGGCAGTATTAAAATATTTATAAATTTAATAATTTTTTCTTCAATGTACATATAATATATATGTATATTGTATACATCTATATAAAATTAGTGTATTATAATCTTGTTATCCAATTATACAGGGGGGAAGGATTTTTCATTATATTTTACCGAAAAATTCACTACAAATTTCATGTCTGATAATAAGTCGAAAATTACTATGCTGTATGTTAAAATTATCATGAACGATTAAGCTGGATTGAAAATATGCTGCATTGTAAAATTTATATAAAATATTTTATGTTTATTACTTCTTTTGTCATCTATTTTAAAATATTTTTTTAAATTATTGAAATTTACTATAGTTTAGTCAAATTAATCAAACATATTTTATATTTTATATTTTATTGTAGTCGATATTAATATTTTTAATTGTGATAAATATTAATCGGAGAAACTCTTATATAAAATTCCAATACCATATTGTTCCACAATCTATAAATTTCAAGATAAATTCTAAGAAAAAATTCTCTTTGGGTATAATAAATAAATATGTTCAACACGAAGAGAGAAAAAATTTAATTAAAAAGCAAAATGACAGTCGTGCATATACAGGTATGTAATATTTTTAAGTTATATAAAATTATACTACACGGAAAAAAATTAGTATAGTACTATAACTAAATTTTAGCTGTCCCTATATTACACATGAAATTTAGTTATCATGGCTAAATTTTAGCTATGATAACTAATATTTTTTAGTTATAGTTTAACGGAGAATTCTATAACTAAAAAAATATTAGTTATCATAGCTAATAAGCATGATAACTAAACATGTTTAATATAAAGACAGCTAAAATTTAGCTATAGATAATAGTTAATTTTTTTTCGTGTTGTTATCTAATTATATAATAAATATGTTCAACATAAAGAAAGAAAAAAAAATGTTGAATTAAAAAGCAAGATGACAATCGTGCATATATGTAATATTTTTAAGATATATAAAATTACTACACGGAAACTAATTAGCCATTATAATTAAATTTTAAATAAATTTTAGCTACGATTTAGTCATGAAAGCTAATTTTTTCATGTATCGTAATCTTGTTATTTAATAATATAATAAAGAAATATATTCAACTAAAGAAAGAAAAAATATTTTAAATTAAAAAGCAAGATAACAGTCGTCTGTAGTAATATCTTGTAAGTGATATGGCAAATATAATACATTTATTACATATCATGTTATTACATATATGTATATTAAATGACAAATATATGTAGCACGCATTTATCACGTTTGTCAAGATATTGGGCACGTATCTCGATATCATTTTCTGTCTTAATTCGATAAATATTTTCTCTCATGTTTATTTATTCATATCCGAACTCGACTTGACGTATCGCAACGTGTGACACTCCTTACTTCAGCCTCGCGAATTATAGCGGAGGGTAGATATCAAGGTAAATGTAGAGTATCGTAAAGAAGATCCGCTGTTGGATACCGACGTGGATTTCGGCCGCATTTGAAATTCAAATAAAGCGGCAAGGTTTACGACACACGGGCTTAAAGCCGATGGTACTTGCGGACGTAAGAATCACGAGGCTCCTCGCTCTCGATTCGAAAGATTAATTCGCGAATTCCATTAATAAATCCGATCGATATTTTTTTTCTTTCGTGAAAAATCTCGCACTGGAAAAAAAAAAATCTTGCTGCATTAACAAAAATTCTGTTCGAAAATGGACTCTACAACTGTTGCGCAAACAAGCTTGCTTATTGCATTAAAGGGAATTCTGGAAGATTCAACCAGTAATTCTGTTTCGCCTATTTTCGAACAGAATTTTTGTTAACGTAATGAAATTTTTTTTCCAGTGCGTCTAAAAACTCTCTCTCTCTCTCTCTCTCTAAAAAAATATACACTGACGCGTTTTCGGATTGAAATGCGACTGAAAGACTATCTCTCTCGGCGAAGAGTCCCCGAGATGTCATGTTGTTCCGTTCCATACAAAATCGACCGGGGTCACAAGTCACGATCAGTCGTGCCGAATAGGAGTCCAAAACGATTTAATGCTCCGGCAAATGACGGTCTTGGGAAATTGGCACCGCAAATACATACATATACATATATAGCGAGACGCGACGCGACGAGATTGTAAAGAACGGAACGAGAAAGAGGGAGGAAAAAAAGGGTTAAAGGGAAGGGAGGAGAGAGGAGGGCGAAACGGGGTAATAGTTGCCCACGTCGCGATCGTTTTGTCTTTAAACGCTTCGTAAAAAAGAGCTGGACACGATTTACGATTGATTACAGTCTCTCCGACGTGAGGTCAAAAGTCGATGCGAAATGACTATCGATATCGATGAGAGCGACCGAGTGGAGATTATAGGTAACGACTAATAATGCAGTTCCATCTTCCCCACCCTCGTCGTTCTCATCTCTTCTCTTTCTATATTTCTCTCTCTTTCTCTTTCTCCCTCCTTCTCTCCCTCGATGTAGAAACGAGCCGCTCTAAAGGGCGCTCAAACACTTGATCACCGGCTTTTCCCCTTTCGCTGCTCTCCGTCTATGACGTCTCGACTCCGACACTAGACTAGTTAATCCTCTTCTCGCATTGTTGCTCAGAGAGAAATATAGAAAAAGATTCGCATTATTCCCTCGCGTCTCGCGACATTTAAATGCACTCATGCAATTTGCGAAAATAAATCCGGGGGTGCGAATTAAAATACGCCTCGATTCTCGTTTTACTCCCGAACAATGTACACGTGGTAATTGAACGTCAAGTTACACGAGGGTTTTCAGGT